GACGATGTCCCTACAGCAAGCAGGTCAATCTCCCACGATTCAGATGTCGTAGCACAGAACGCCATGAGATTAGACACACCTACGACTAGTACAATGAGATCAGATGCACCCGCTTTTCACCCGACATTCAGTGCACCACAATCTGAACAGTTCTTATCACCAAAGCAGGCTCCTACACGCAGGCGAGACCCCTCTCCAACGAGTGAGCCAGACATCGCAGACTACTATGATCCGGAAATGTTTCAAACCAGACGCATGACTCGATCAATGTCTATGTACTACCACCCGAAGATTTACCCTCGGGAATACCCTTGAGTACCTTTCATTAGTTTTTGTTCGTGTCTTGTTTAGTGTGATTGCATTTCATCTTCAAATATTTGTAAACAACCCAAAATCTTCCAACACTTCACGCTACAATGGTTTTGGAAGCAGTAGAATCAGATTTATATGAAAATGTTGATGGCACGAATCCCAATGTTGTCGAAACTCTAATCTACGCATTGAATCAGGGTCTGGGACCATCACCAATGACTCCAGAAGGGCCGAAATCCCTAAATCCCAAACCCCAAACCCCAAACCCTAAACCTAAAACCAAAATCAAAACCAAAACCAAACCCTAAACCGCACTTTCTCTCTCTAGCCAAAACGCTCTCCCTTCTCTCTAGAATGGGAGAAAACCTCCAAAACTCCAACAAACCTGATCCACCACCGAAACCACCAGATTGCACCACTCCAAGTGGTGGAAAATCATCACCAACAACCACCCAAACATCTCCTATAACACCAATATCAAATTCAACCCCCAAGTCAATATATCTAAGTTTGAAAAATCATGGCACGAATCCCAATGTCATCGAAACACACACTTCTGATCATAATTTGGATATGGGACCACCACCAATGAACTCAGAAGGCCCAAAAACCTCTGGGGTGGTGTCCTCGACGTCCAATTTCGTCGGAATTGAAACTTTGGAAAAAGTGCAGCCCGAAACTGATTTTGAAATTAATTCTCGTACGAAGCTCCAACAGAGACACGCGCCACATATTCAGAATGCCCATGAAATGGTAAACCTTCGGTCAAAAAATCATGACAATCGGAGGTTGGACGCTCCTGTTACGGTACCAAACGTAAACGGGCAGTTTGTCGAAATATTGCGATTTTCGGCCTCTACGGTTCTCACCTCGGGAAATGCGCCTGACCGCGTTATTCAGCATGAAATTCTGCACAAGACTGTTGAAAATCATAAAATTCTACCTCCGGTTGATTTTGGCCGAAAAACGGAGCCGCTAGCGGCCGACCGGCGGCATTCCGGTGACCATCCGGCAATTTTTGTCCAAAATATTCGTCCAGTTAATCTAAATCCATTTTTGTCATCGGTTTTTCCACATGAGGCCCAGACAGTGCTCAATCAGGGACGAAAGACCTATGCTACTGCAGTTTCTGGCCGTCCAAGCCTATCTCAAGCTGAGCGAAGTTCACGGAAGTCGTTTACATCGGTTATACAGGGTATAGATGACTCTTCCACTGCTGGGTTTGCTGCTAAAGAACCCTTTATACATATGGGTGAGCCGGCAGTGATTTTGACTGAGTCCGAGGAGGCTACACTTGCTGATCCTTACAAGTATACACTTGTGGGGAAATTTCCACATCGCAAGCCAACCATGAAGAAGGTACGTGAGAATTTTTCTAAGTTTGGGTTCCATGGTTGTTTCGAGGTGGGACTGATTGACGCAACACACATTCTTATACACCTTACACATGAGGAGGATTACAGCAGGCTTTTTCTTAAACCTTCATGGTATATTGACAGTTGTCCAATGAGAGTCCTTAAGTGGACATGTGACTTTACACCTGAGCAAGAGACTCCGATAGTTCCCGTATGGGTATCGTTCCCTCTGCTTCCAGTACATTTACGTGCGAAGGGTTTCCTTTTCGCCTTATCTAGGGCAATAGGAATGCCCTTGAGAATTGATGAGGCCACCACCGACTTGAGACGACCTAGTGAGGCAAGGGTGTGCATTGAGGTGAATTTAGGGCATAAGTTGCCCGACAGGGTTTGGATTGAGCGCGCTGATAACCGTGGCTTCTGGCAGACAGTTATCTATGAGAAGCGGCCAATTTTTTGCTTCTCTTGTAAACACTTGGGGCATTCTTATGATCAGTGCACTACGGTTCCTCCTCCTCCTCCTACAGTTGTTGTGCACCCCCCTGTTCGGCCCCCTATTACTAGGACTGATAAGGATAAGGGCAAGGTGACGTTTGTGGAGCCAAAGAAGCAGTGGGTTCCAGTTTCAGCAGTGCCTTCTGTGCTTCCCACTACTACTACCGCAGTTGTGACAGAGTCAGAATCTGCATCAACAGTTCCTACCTCTACTCGTATCACATTGATCACTTTAAGAAGGACCATGGAATGAAAGTTGGATCTACCATGAGATTTGCTATTGAGGACTTGGTTTTTAAGCTCTTTGGAGAAGGACCTTCTGTGAGTAAGACTCCTACGCATACACCTTCACCTAGTCTTTCTATCATAGCTCCTACACACAATAAGGTGAAAGAACATATACAGAGAGACATGGATGGCATGGGCCTTGGAAACTGCATGCAAAATGCAGAGGACGATGTCCCTACAGTAAGCAGGTCAATCTCCCACGGTTCAGATGTCGTAGCACAGAACACCATGAGATTAGACGCACCTACGACTAGTACAATGAGATTAGATGCACCCGCTTTTCGCCCGACATTCAGTGCACCACCATCCGAACAGTACTTATCACCAAAGCAGGCTCCTACACGCAGGCGAGACCCCTCTCCAACGAGCGAGCCAGACATCGCAGACTACTATGATCCAGAAATGTTTCAAACCAGACGCATGACCCGATCAATATCTATGTACTACCACTCGAAGATTTACCCTCGGGAATACCCTTGAGTACCTTTCATTAGTTTTTGTTCGTGTCCTGTTTACTGTGATTGCATTTTATCTTCAGATATTTGTTACAATTTACATTTGCTGGAGGTCAGGTCCATGCCCCCCTCCTCTATTTGTTTTCTCGCTTTTCATTATATAAAATAAACCACACTAGTGGTATTTGCTTAAAAAAAAAAAAACCCCAAACCCTAAAACCCTAAACCCTAAACCTAAACCCTAAACCCTAAACCTGGTGTACGCTTTAGTTTACACTTTGCCATGTGAGATTACCTTGTTGGACAGTTTAAATTTCAAATAGTTTCCCAACCAATTGATACTTGACAATAATGCAAATGTCAAACAACGTGTCAAAAAATAGTGCACAATTAGCAAAGTTCAATCGGTTAAGACCTTGCTACCTGTAGACTATGGTGTACACTTTACCACGCGACATTAACCGGTTGGACAGTTTAAATTTCTCACACTTCTCCCATCAAATTGACACTCGACTGCAATGCAAGTTTCAAACAACGTGTCAAAAATTAGTGTACAAATAGTAAAGTTCAATCGGTATGAACGTTGCTACATGTACACTTTGGTTTACACTTTACCACGTGACATTATTCTGTTGGACAGTTTAAATTTCAAACAATTTTCTCGTCTAATTGACACTTGACAACAATGCAAGTGTTAAAAAACATGTCAAAAATCAATATACAGATAGCAAAGTTCAATCGATAAGGACCTTGCTACATATAGACTATGGTGAACATTTTAGTATAGTCTTCGCCACGTGACTAAGACCTATTGGAAAGTTTAAATTCCAAACAGTTTTTCCATCCAATTGACACTTGACAACAATGCAAGTGTCAAACAACATATCAAAAATCAATGTACAATTAGCAAAGTTCAATCGGTAAGAACCTCGCTGTATGTACACTATGGTATACACATTGGTTTACAGTATGCCACGCGACTTTCCCTTGTTCGACCGTTTAATTTCAAACAGTTTTCCCATCCAATTGACACTTGACAACAATGCAAGTGCCAAACAACGTGTCAAAAATCAGCGTACAAATAGCAAAGTTCTATTGGTAAGGATCTTGCTACATGTACACTATGATGTACACTTTAGTTTAAACTTTACCATGTGGCATTACCCTATTGGACAGTTTAAATTTCGATCAGTTTTCCCTTACAATTGACACTTGACAACGATGCCAGCGTCAAACACCATATCGAAAATCAGTGTACAAATAGCAAAGTTTAATCGACAAGGACCTTGTTACATGTAGCCTATGGTGTACAGTTTAGTATAGTCTTTGCCACGTGAAGATGACCTATTGGACAGCTTAAATTTCAAATAGTTTTCCCATCCAATTGACACTTGACAAGAAAGCAA